GTACAAAGTCTATCCTTATTCACCCTTCAGATTCATGTTTTATATGGGTTTATAGGAAATGAGAGAGAGGGGGGGGTGTGGGTGTGCGTGTTATGTGTGAGTAATCGCACGTGGGCGGTGCGCGCAGGAAGGGAGCGATGACAGCGCACGGACAGATGGTGGCAGCACACAGAAGAAGGCAACACACAACAACACGATGCAAATGCACGCACGCACACACGCACACACACACACACACGCACGCACACACACACACACACACACACACACACACACACACACACACACACACACACACACGCACACACATCAACAACGTACCCTCGCCGAAGAAGGTACGGCGGCGGTGGTGGCTGCGGTCAATGAACTGGTCGACCAGCACGACCTTTCCGGGCGCAATGTCCTCCTGGTGATGGCGAAACGCACATGTGAGAAACAAGTGTCGTGGAACTGACACTGACACACACACACAGACACAGCTTCACACACTCACACACAGACACACACACAGACACAGACACAGCTTCACACACTCACACACAGACACAGACACAGACACACACACACACAGACACACACACACACACACCTGCAGGGAGCCGACGGCGCTGACGCTGATGATCCACTCAACACCGAGTTTCTGCAAAGACAGGGCATTGGGGTGGCGGTCATTCGCGTGGTGAGGGAGGCGGCTTGCAGACGATACACTTGCACAACAATATACACTTGCACAACAGAACAGAGCATGATGCCGTACGATCACAAGTGCACACACAAGCACAACCACACATACAGCACGCACGCACAAAGACAGACCTTCATGCCCCAGATGTTGGCGCGAACATTCACTTCGGTGGGCAGGTGGAAGTGGCCAGGGCCATGGCGGGGCAGGAACACCACCTGCGCAACAAAAGGTATGAAAGAAAACAGAGGCACAGTCAGTTGTACTTGTCCATGTGTCACACACACACACACACACACACGCATACACACACGCACACACACACACACACAGACACACACAAGCACACACACACACACACACACACAAATGTATCGCTTCAAACAAGTGAACACGTACGTCGACGCCATCGATCTGCCCGAGCATGTAAGGGCCAGAGGGCTTGCCAAAAGGCGTGTCAATCTCACGCTTCCTACAACACACACACATAATGAAGGAAGCGTTGTCACCAAAATGAGCACACAAGCGCGCGCTGCACACACACGCACACTGGAACACCGCTCGGGTGACAATTTGCCCGCGTCTTTTGTGCACCCCCATATCGCACCACATGCACACCCACAAAGTGTCGGCCAAGCGTACGTACTCGTTGACGGTGAGGCCCTCCATGTTGTAGAGGCCACTGCCTCCAATGAGACCAATCTTAGGCATGGCTGCTGACTGGGCGGGCGGTACAGAAGGGATGAGAGAAGGTCAAACAAGGGGTGTGGATCGCAGAAGCGGCGTGTAAATGGAAGGACAGCAGCAGCGCGTGTTGCGTTGTTTTGCGCACGAAGAAGAAGCGAAGAATTTTTATTTTTCGAGTTGTTGTCGTGTGTCAGTCAGTGTTTTGCCTTTTTGTCGCTGTGTGTGATGTATGAGATTGACGTGAACATGTTGCTGTTGTCGTTTACAAAGTGTAGCGGTGTGGCACCCAAGAAGGGTTGCATGGCCGAGAGAGAGAGACAGAGACAGAGAGAGAGACAGAGAGACACAGAGAGAGAGAGAGAGAGACAGAGAGAGAGAGAGACAGAGAGAGAGAGAGAAGGCAAGCAATACATAGGAAGCTAAAAGCTGCAGAGAGAATAAAGAAAGCACAAAGCAAAAGAAGAAAGGAGGCAAAAAAGGGAGCGAAGCTATTGAATAAGCCAACCAAAACGAGAACACACACACACACACACACACACACACACACACACACACACACACACACACACACACACACACACACACACACACACACACACACACACACAAAAGCGTGCGTATGTGTGTGGGGGGGGGGTGACGCTTCAAATGTCTGTTTCGATGTCGGCGAGCATGCCATTGGTCAGCACCATGCTCATGGGCCGTTCACGGGGTACAGAGCCGCTGTCACTCGCCCACCCTTCCTCATCACCATCATGATCATCATGATCATCGTGATCATCGTGATCATCCAAGTCGTCATCCACGTCAACGTCTTCAATCTGCATGCCTGGCAGTGCAAACACGGCGCCCTCTGCCTCCGCTCCTGGTGCTGCCCTCGTGTCCAGCCGTCCCATATCCTTCACCACTCCGCCACCGCCACCGCTACCGCCACCACCGGCCTTTGCTGCGCTGGCACGGTGCGTCACAAATTGCAAAGGAGCAGAGATGATGGGCCGCGAGGAGCTACTGGCAGTGGAGTTGGTGGTGGTGGTGATCCCTGCTGCCATCACGCCTGCTGTGGTTGCTGCCTCTGTGTTGTTGGGCGGTGACACAGCAGTGGCATGACGGCTGCTGCCGACGGAAGCATGA